TTTGGGAGGGAAAAAAGCGGAAAAAATGAGATTTTTTTGCAGGGGAAAAAAAGCGAAAAAATGACATTTTTTTGAGGGAAAAACGAGATTTTTCGGGTGAAAAAAAGCGGAAAAATGAGATTTTTTTGGAGGGAAAAATGAATTTTTTTTTCGGGGGGAAAAAAGCGGAAAAATGAGATTTTTCGTGTGAAAAAAAGTGGAAAAAATGAGATTTTTCGGGAGGGGAAAAAAGCGGAAAAATGAGATTTTTTTTTTGAGGGAAAAATGAGATTTTTTGGGGGGGAAAAAAGCGGAAAAATGAGATTTTTTTTTTAGGGAAAAATAAGATTTTTTTGGGGGGGATAAAAAGCGGAAAAATGACATTTTTTTGGGAGGGAAAAATGAGATTTTTCGTGTGGAAAAAAAAGCGGAAAAACGAAATTTTTTTGGAGGGGGAAAAATGACAATTTTTTCGGGGTGGACAAAAGCCGAAAAATGAAATTTTTTTTTTTTTGCAGGGGGGGAAAAACGAGATTTTTGGGGCTCCAAAAGCGTAAAAAACGCGCGCTCCTTTCTCGCGCGCCGCCCGCTAATTGCGCGTTCAAAGGAACGCCGCTCTTAATTAAGGGTTTTAATTGCCTTTCCAGGCGCGCCCTGGTTCCCGGCGCAGCCGCGCTCGCGCAAGAAGCGCCGCCCGTACTCGAAGGCGCAGCTGGCGGAGCTCGAGGCCGAGTTCGGCCTCAGCGAATTCGTCACTCGCCAGCGGCGCCGCGAGCTCGCCCAGGGGCTGGGGCTCAGCGATCAGCAGGTCAAGATCTGGTTCCAGAACCGGCGCATGAAAAAGAAAAGACTCCTCCTGAGAGAGCAGGCGCTCGCCTTTTTCTGAGGGAAAAAAAAAAATAATATTAAAAAGGAGAAAAAATTAAAAAAAAAGAAAAAAACAAAAAAATCGGGTTTTTCGCGCGGTGAGAGTGAGCGGAGAAGGTGTTGGAAATTGGATTTAATCGGAATAAAAGCGGCGCTGGAGGGGTTTGGGAAGGGGGGTGAGCGCTGAGGAATCGCGCGGGGGGGAAAATTTGAAATAAATTGGGATAAAAGGGGAAAATCGCGCTGGAAAAATGGGGGGAAAACTGGAAAAGGAGAGGAAACGGTGAGGGTGGAGAGGAGTGGAAATGGGAAATGTGGAGGGTGGGAAAAATAGAAAATGGGAAATAAATATTGAGGGTGGAAATAAATGAAAATAGGAAATGCTGAGGATGGAAAAAATCAAACTGGGAAATATTGAGGGTGGGAAAAATGGAAAATGGGAAATATCGAGGATGGAAATAACTGAAAATAGGAAATATCGGGGATGGGAAAAAATGGGAAATAGGAAATTTCGGGGATGGAAAAAATAGAAAATGGGAAATAAATATTGAGGGTGGAAATAAATGAAAATAGGAAATGCTGCCGGTGGAAAAAATGGAAAATGGGAAATATTGAGGATGGAAATAATGGAAAATGGAAAATAAATATTGAGGATGGGAATAATTGTAAATAGGAAATATTGCGGATGGAAAAATGCGAAATAAGGAATATCGCGGATGGAAAAATTGAAAATAATAAGAAATATTTTCTGGATAAAGGGAAGCGGAATTTCCGCGGCGCCGGAGTTGCAGA